GTTTGTCTCTCCCTCCCACCCCATTCACTGCCGCAGTTTGATTTATTTGCTGATTCTCAGGGTTGTGAATAATTGGTTTCTTAGGCACTCCAACACGAAGCGAGTAGTCACTTTATGGGAGTACAGATAGAGCAGGATCCATCAGCCTTGAGAAGCAGGAGTCCACCCAGCGAACCGCAGCACCCACTCTTTCTTCCAAAGCACCAGTGCGACACTTCACCCAGAGTGACGTGCAAGGCAAGAAAGAGCAGAGGCTGCAGAAAATAACATGGGCGAGGCTGCTGCTGCAGTACGTTATGGAGCTGCACTTCAGCAAAACCCAGAGGAAGAACAAGAGGTTATGTGGCCAGCCTCCTGTATGTAACTTAAGAGGTAAGATACCCTGGGACTGTGCCCGCACCACTGCGAAGAGCAGCATCAGCCCTGCAACTGCAGGGCTTTCCCTTTGCACAGAAGAAAATAATCAGCTCTCATTCTTTCATTAGTGCCTTTGTCCACAAAACAGGCATCTTTAGGGCTCTCAAATCCTAGACAGAATCCTGCTGGGGAAAAAAAAAAAAGAAAAAAAAAGAAAAAAAGTGGGTAATTTCCATGACAGCCTTTCAAAACAAAAACAAAGCCCTACAGCCTTATAAATATATATATATAATCTATATATTAAAATATAATTTATACATAATATATATATTTTATATATGTGTGTTAAAAACCCCATGGTTTTAATTACTGAGGTATGCAAGGATTTGCTGCCTCTGAGCCTTTATCTGCTGTATCTCGGTCAAACCTCATAAGGCTGCATTTGAAATCACACTGCGCTAAGGAAACAAAATGATTAAAGCAGAGCAAGGGAGTCAGGGGATTAGTTTACTCTGCATGGCCTTGAGCAAGTAATTTTTAGCTCTGAGGCCCTAATCTTATAGTGAGCCTGGGGCAGATGAAACACTTCAACACCCACACAAAGCACACTTAAGTTTTTTTCTCATCTGAAAAATGGGGATGACAACACATACCTCTCTCTGAGAAGCATCTTAATCATTAACCTCCATTAAGAGCCTGGAAACGTGAAGTTTTAAAATGATTAAGTACCAAACCAAATTAACATTCTGCAATGCCATTGGAGTCAACAAGGTAGAATGACAAGACAAGCACCCATTGTATTCAGCTCACAATCGTCACTGGAAAAATCTAACACTGGGAAGCTGTAATAGTCTCTTCCCTTCCTAACAACCAGCTGTAACTACAAATAGAATACAAAAGATGAGTGACTAAATGAATTAGTCCCGAGCTGCATCCTCTATCTTGTTAAATGCAGGAAGCCTACACAGAGCAGTTTCAAAGGGACTAATGAAGGAAAAAAGCAAGCTCTGGGATCTCAGTCCTTGAATTGCCCAGCCTTCAGACAAAAGGTACCAGTTCTGCAAATAAAGCAACAAACTTGCAGCTGCCACTACTTAGAAAACACCCTTTAAAATGCAGGACTTGTCATGGTCTTAATGAAGCACAATTTCACTGTCCTAAGAGTATTACTCATTCTGTGTATTCAGCATGAGATGCTTTGTTGCTTGCCTGCTTTTTATGGTAGGTGCAGTCTGTATTAGTCTTACTAGCAGTTGTCACTTTTTATACTAGTTTTCCATTTCAGTGCATGTATGTACAGTGTATCTCATAACATCACAAGCGTTTTATTTGCACGAGGCAGGTGCATTGCAAGTCTGTGCACTTTTCCTTATCAGAAGTAAACACCATCTGAAAATGCACTACAAAGTTAGAAGTGGATTCTCAGCACCCTCTTGTGGATTTGTAGAGTGATAACCACCAATTATTAGTAGAACTTTCATTACAATTCAGAGCTACCGAAAAGTTATTATTTTTGCAGCAAAACTACAACAGGGAAGTTAAATGTGAATGGCAAAACTTTGTAGTTTATGATTATTTTTAATACCTGAATAAAACCTATGTCTTTAGGCAAAGCATCTCTTGTGCCACATTAAAAAAATCTGCCAGTTATACACTGGCTCTCAGGCAATATATGAACTGTAATACTATTAGGTCAGTGGTGGCAGGGGATCCTGTTTCTATTAAAACATGCATCTATGCCTGCAGGCTAGTCAGGATCAAAGCTCTTGTCATTTAGAAAAAAAATTGCCTGTGGTGGCCACAAAGAATAAGTTACTTCCAAGAGAAAATAAGATTCTTGCTCTGCTTATTAGGATGCCAGTAGCCAGAAGCTCTTCCAACTCAGCACATCATCGCAATGCTTCTATCAGGTCTGGGAACAAACAGGAGTCTGAATGCTGCTACTGGGTAGATGTGTTTTTCTGATAAAGTGGCTTTCCTCCCCCATGTGTGTGCTTGCAGTAAAATGCCCTGTGGAAGAGGACAAAGATAGAAGTACTTTTTTGTTTTGTTTTTGCATATGTGTATAAGGAATGGCCAAGTATCCCCCTATAAGCAGCTGTTTTTCACGATTTACAGATCACACTGGATTTTTAAGTCCAACCTGAAGAATTCACAGAAGTCAAGGAAGACTGATACATACACTGAATACTCCTAATTACACGTGAACAAACCTCTTTGAAGTCACCTAGATTCCTATCAACACAGCTATGTTTTGTATGTACCAGAATTTAATGAGTGGTGTGACTTATGTCAGAACATTCAAACCACACATGGGGTAAGGGTTTAGCTTCAACCTAACAGCTTCCAGCATGTTTTAACCAAATCCTCAAAGCAGTTTCAGTGCCTGTCTAAATGCATAAGCATAACAAGCAAGCATTAGTGATGTTTATCACACTCACGGTGAATTAAAACATGCACAAGGTTTCTTGAGAACATCCACCAGACTTTGTTCCTCTAAGGAACCCACAGGTGCTTAAATATGCTCAGCATTCCAGCTTTCCAGCCTTTTATTTTTTTTGACAGCTGCAATACAATTACTGCTCCAGGTGTATAAAAATTTAAGATTGTTTTTCCTCACATGCAGATAATGTGATTCATATTGTCACAGTTCATTCTGGAAGCACAGTTCTACAGATATGCTAGCTACTACATATAGCCTATGCCCTTCACTCTCACTACACCCACCTCTAAGAATGTCAATAGTCCCGAGTCTCACAATACCAAAAGGGTTTAAAAATACCTCTCAGTCACCATGCCTAGTATCTACCTCAGTGCCCACATATCTTCAACATATATAACAGTGATAACAAAATACAAATTCCCATCAATGTAGATTCCCTCCCTTTGGCATTTTAGCAAATTTATCTGTGTTTTTTTTTTTTTTTTTCTTAGAAAGTATGATTCAGGCACATACATAGACAGTTATCTTTGAGAAAGTTAACACTAGACATTAAAATACTGTAAATTCAGTTGTGGTTTTGTTCCACCTTACTTTTATTTTTAAAACATAAAAATTCTAATATATTGCTGTCTATTAGTTCTGTGTTCCCTTCGGAACACTGTATGCTTCTGTTAAATACAGAATCATGTGTGCAGTTAAACGCAAAGCACCTTCAGAAGCTATTCCTACTGCAGAACAAGAACAGCAGCTCATGCTTTCTGTGTCAGGCCATGAGCAAACACAGGAGGAAGCATCTAAGTTTTTTCTGCTGTGTTACCTCCTCCAGGAGATGAGAAACTACACAATGCAAGCCTTATGCATTCAGACCTGCACAACTGTCTCTGTGCTTTTTTTTTTTATTTATTATTATAAAGGGCCAAGCCTTTACCATTTAGAAGACTTGGCCATATTATTGTTTCCTTTACAGTGGTACAGCTTATGTTCCCAACATATAACAAACAGATTTGTGCCACCATACTTTCTGTGGGCTAGGCACAGTGTATCAAAATTAGGAACAATTGTTTAATGAACAGTAACCTATATATTCCAGAAAAGTTTGTAAGAAATGAGTCTGAAGTTAAGCATCTTACAAGTACAGTATTGAAAAGTGAAATCCACAGATCTCAGTATGAGCTTCAGGGTTTCTGTTCTAGTGAAAAACATTAATCACGTATTTCATTGCTGCCTTACATCCATTAAGTGTAAAGGCCTTTGTCAGGAAAATAGTTCTGAAAAATTGAGGAATATTTCAGATGGCTTGCAGGTCTACAAATATGATCACACTCCTAGGAAGAGAAAGAGGAAAAATTCCTACTCACCAGAATTATTTGTCATGGTGACCAGGAAAGCAAAGTGGAGTAGGCTCCTGCTCCCTCATGGCTTCTTTATGGCATTCCTTTCACTTTGCTGAAGTCACTGCTCAGAGGAAGTAGGAGTAGCTTTGGTAAGCAGTTATCCCTGCAGCTGGCTGGCTGACATAATTTAGGACAGGCAGTACATTGATTTTCTACTTCCCTTAATAGGTCACACATACGAAACGGATATACCAATTGATTGTTCATCTAAAGCAGAATTAATTGCACACACATGGTCACACACTACAATGTCTGCCAATGTGATTTGGAATGCAACTAAGAAAACCTCAGTTATGGACATGTGCTATTGCAGAACAACACACAACTTGGCTAATCTGGCAGATACTATTTAGACCTCTAATCGAATGAGTATAAGGCCGCATTTTTGATCTTATAATGCATATTACATATCTCCTAAAGATTTGCAAGTTTTTTAGACTACAGCTCTCTTTCTTTTGTTTCTTTTCCAATTAACCTGAATATGTACATTTTCTAATTTCCAGTTACACCTTTCCAGACTTCGGTCACTGTTTGGCAAATGTCTCTTCAGAAATGCAGCATCTCAGACTCTAGCAGAATGTCAGTGCAAAAACACTGTCACTTTAATTCACTGACCATTTCAGTTTAATACTAGCCACAACTTACACAAGTCTGCAAGCAGCTAAACTGTTTCCTTCTCCCTATTAAGTGTACAAATATACATATGTAGCTTGACTTGGGATTTCTTTTTGTGCACTCTGAAGATTATTTCCCATTTTACAGTGACAAGACCAAAGCCTAGAAGTAGATGAGTTTAACTCACTTTTATCTAATGCTAGTGTAAGGTTTAGTTTTTTTTAGTTTTTCACCCACAGATATGCCATGCAATAGTCAGTAAGTCAACTGTTTTGTAGCTCCATAACACTATTCAAACCCCCCAAATACCAGAGTTTTACTAAAACAGATAATAACAAGTATGTGTATGTATGTATATAAACCCTGTGAGGAAAACCTGCCCTTAAGAAAAGGTTCCTCTCTACCTCCCCAACTATATATTTTGAAAACAAAACTAATAAGATTTCAAGTACATTTCAGAACAGACAGTTTGCTCTCTGAGCACAATAAAAAAATCCCTCTGCCATACAAAAAAAATACTATGTAAAGTTTAATACAATTTAGGTATATGAGTAAGAGGAAAGTATTTTACAATAGCTTAAAATCCATGGCAATCTCTCCTGTCTTTGTGTCGAAATTTATAGCATACGAGACAGCACTAGGAGGGTCTGACAGAATTTCTGATTCAATAACAGAACTGAAGAAATAGACAGCTTGCTTGCAGTGGGGATTCCATTCACAGTTTCCCTATAGGAGAGAGTTAAAAGTGAAAGCAGTCAGAACTCTATGATATTATTACTAGACAGTAATAATACAGTAAGAGTTCTTGTTCCCAGTTCCGATACAATGATCGGATAGTTATCGCTTTCATTGCCATCCATTCATTCCATTGCAGGAATACATAACTTCAAAATACCATATGCTACACTGCACAGTGACACCGTAGAGGAAAAAAATGGATTTGGTCAAAGAATACTTAGAGTACTGAAAATACTTACTCCTTCCCCTCAAAATTTTTGCATTTGTTAAACTGAGAAAAGGAATTTGTATGAATAAATTCTACTTTGAGCAAGCATCATATTTAAGTTCTGAATGTGGTTCCAAACTATGGAAGCATTTGGATCCAATTCAGAGTCTCCCATTTTAAGGTACATCTCCTGCTCCTCCTAAAACCATGAACAGATGCCTCTGGTAGTTTTGTCTACATAGTATTCAAACAGCGTAACAAAGAGCACTACATAAACCAAGCATGCCCAACAGCGACCCATTTTTCAGCACTGTAATCCTATAGACTTTGACATAATAAATTAGACTGAAGAAATACCTTTTCATTTGAAATTTGCATCAGTCCTGTACTAACAGAGATATCAGCAGCAAGATGATATTCCATCCACAGAACTGCTCCGTGGCTCTTTCCTTTTCTGGGGAGAGGTGGAGGATCAAAACCTGTTACTTTATACAATACCGACGGCTTAAACACTACATCCATTCCTCACATAGTTTAGGTGAGAGCTGTAAAAGCATGAATAACTTGTTTCTTTGAAAAAAAGTTGAAGAGCTGAATGATTTGGTAAATGGGTAGCAACTTTTAAAGTATTTGCAGATATGAAATCTAAAATAGACAAGGAAGAGGAGAATATGTTGTAACTAAATCTGCTCAGAACCACAGTCATTTAACAGGCACTCAGTAACATGGCATAAATTATATGGCATATTTGGAGAGTACTTCCTTCAGAGACCCCAGCTCCTATTGTTTCTGAATTTTGAGGAAATATTTACCACACATACCATCTCACTTCCAAGTGTCTGCTCCACAAGGAGCACAGAGGTCATGCTAGCATGTTGCCTGTAAATACAACAACGGGTGCAAACACACAGAGACCCCATGCAGATGGTTCTGGATTTTGTGAAACCTTGAATTTTGTTTCATAAAGAGAATCATATGATTACAGCACTGTTTGAGTTACATAAGCTCTAGATTGTTAAAAATAACTTTGCCATTTTTTAATTCTTAACAGCATTTCCAGTTTGAACAGAATTAAGTACAATCTGTAGTTAGATTATAGTGAAAAATACCTCAGAAGACATGACAAATATCAAGATGGTCAGAATTATAGTTAAAAGGAAGAATAGCATACACTTTAAAGCTATTAAACAGAATAATTTGGAAAGTTAATAGGAGCTTTTTCTGCAAGAACTCAGCAACAGGGAACAAATGCAAAGATTAAAAACATCCAGACAATCGTTTATTTTCTCTAAACTCTAAATTAATCTATTTAAGTTTTAAATCATGGTAACATCTAGAAAAATGTTATTTTTTAAATACATGGATATTATCTAAGAAATTACCCTTATTGTTATAGCTTATTGTGAATGGCCACAGGAAATTTGTGTCAGAGTAACTTCCACAACTTTAGGTCACATTATTAAATGTCAAGTATGTTCCCACTAGTTAACTGTAATACACAAAGAGCTTGAATATGAGGTAACAAAAATGGATGATGATAAGAGTATTTATTGCAATGAGAAAACTCACCGTAAAAGATTTACAGAACCCTCTGTGCCAAGACCATGTTGTGGTACAGTCTTTCTGAAGTCAAATGTCAAAACTTCCTGAGGGTCAGAGAGTGACTTGCAAGGATATTCCCACAGAGGGTGAGGTTCTGCTTCCCTGGATTCCCTAAAATTCAGAGAATTCTGAAGAAAGAAAGTAATAAAACTACCTGAAAACAATCCAAAGGCACACAGTCCTTGTTTTCAAATTAATTATGTGTCCTGAACCCTGAGTATTTAAGCAATAAAGCTGCAAAAGGACAGGATTGCACTTCTTAGGCACAAGGAAAATATGTACTAGATGCATGAACTAATTGCTATGACTATGGTCCTCAGTAGTGAAACAGGCACTTTCAAAATACAATGCATTTAAATTTTCTTCTACTCTAGAACTGCCTATACTCCTCCACAATGACTATAAAGGCAATCTAAATGGTTAACTCAAATACAGATATCAACCATACAGCTCTAGAAATTGATACAAATAAATCTCACTCTTCATATCTATTTCTCAGAAGTCAAAAAGCCTTTTTCTCTTTCAAAAGTACCTGCAAGGGCAAGTAAGGGCAGCAGGATTTGTCTATGAACAATTCCGAGATGATTTGATTTCAAGATCAGAGTAAAATTTTGAGAACTGTATTTTTCTTTCTGAATGAAGTATTTTCAAAACAGTGTGAAGTACTGAAGAGCTTGACAAATGAGAAGAAACATACAACGCCAAAACCCATACCACAGAAGTTACTGTTTTGCAAGAACAGTATTGCTATTTAGCCACCATATTTATGAAAAATGAGAACAATGGTGTTCTGCCTAATGTATAAATTTTTCTACAGTCACTAAATACTTTTTTTTTAAGCCAAGGTGAGTTTTGTTCTCTTTTGCTGTGACTTACTTTAATCATATCATCCATAGTCTGGACATCAAAACCTTCACAGGTGCCACATGGACTCCGGATTCTCCATAAGTCCTAAAAAAAGAAAACAGGATTTTGTTTGGTTTTATTAAAGTAAAAAGAATAATTTTAGCTGTAGATTAGACCTTTGGTAACAAGCCAGATACAGACTCTTTACTATCTATACATTCCTAAACAATTAGAACTACTGCAAGAATCAGAAGACAGTGTAATTCTGGGAAAATATTTTGCAAGTCAGTTAATTCTTTAGCCACTGTTTTCAACTGCTCTAAAGAATGTGCCACATTTCCTACCATCTCTATGCATAGTTTACTTTAGAGGAGGTATGGATTTGCCAAGGTTAAATCCTTACAGCCCCCCCATTTCCACTACCCAGCACAGGTATGTGCTCCCAGTTGCATTAGACATCTTACAGCCTATTGGACTACCACACTTCCCTTTAGCACTCTAAAGATTAGTTAAAATCATTTTAGGCACTTCATACTATGCCTCTCATTGACTTTAGCAATCCACTGGACAGACAATGATTCAATACAACTTTTGCCTTTCCTTAGACCGCATTAATTATCTCTTAATAGAACAAGAACATTCACTAGCTGTGGATATATACATTTTATTACCTGCCTATTGTTGCACTTAGCAACTTCAAATGTTCCTGCTTTCCAAGATGGCAGCAGGACTACTATAAATTTAAATAAATGCTGTTACAATTTATGCCTGAATACAGCATGGACTAGAATCTCTGAATGGTATGCCTGACAGAACTATCAAATCAGATAGGTAGCATCCTGCTCCCTAAATGCAATTATGGCCTAAACAGGTTTATAACTGAAGTAACGTCATTCAATTCTTTCTCCTGGATCTAGCTTTTGCTAATTGCTTAACTATAATGACATATCCCTATTCTGACAAGACAGAACAGCCTACAGAACCAGTTCTGCAAAATACCTTACAACACGTTTCTTCCTTCTGTCTAACCAAGAACTGGTAAATGCATAGGTTATTTAAAAAACCCCACAGATGCTAGTCTTTGAGTCTAGATTCACCACTGAACAGAGGAAAATGTGAAATTAAAGCAATAGCTTTTGGAAGAGCTTAATGGAACTAAACACAGGTTAAATGTTCTACCAAAATAACTATGTGGAATCATCTCTGAACACAACCCTGTACATAAAAGTGTAAAACAGAGGTTTGGGTGACATGAATGTCACTCTACATTCTGCTACGAGATTGCTAAATAATCTTAAGTCATCACTTGGCAGGCTTCAGTTTCCTCAACCAGGACATGAAAAGAATAATGCTTACTTCCTTACAAAATTCTTTGAGTTCTAGGGAAGCAAATCCTCTAGATAAGAAAGCATGGAATTAAAATTAACTGCTTATTTCAATCTGATTACTGTTGATTAGTCTTAAACATCTGCTTTCTATTACAAGATTCAGATTTACATTATTTACTCAGTATAAATTTAAATTCTCTAAATTTTTGCAGAAAGCAAAAAGGTATGTAAAAACATGCAGCATAGTTGATTAGTCCCAGAGGGAAAAAGAACGTACATATTTTCACATGCACAAATCAAAGGCGGAAGTAAGAGAACCAGGTTAAAGAGCATTTGAATAAGGAAACCATTAAGGGCTCAGACACAAAACTACGCAGCTAGTGAAGCAGAGGGAAGAAAAGAGAGAGAAAAGAGCTGGCATTTTTAACATATAAACTGAAGGTTATGTTTATGTGAAAATACATTAGATTATAGGCTGTTTTTTAATTTACAGATATGTACAATTTAGTTACGCAATTTCAGACTAAAGAATTCCTTCACTTAAGCTACTGGATAAAAACTTTGCATATTAATTATGAAAGTACTTATTTTATTTCCATTGTTATTGTAGGTGAACTCCACAATCTTTACTGACCAAGTCCTTAATAACTGCAAAGAAGTTTATACCTTTGTACAATTTCTGGAAGATGACTTTTCAAAGTATTTTTAAGATGTGACCCGTATTATGCTCAAATTTAGAACTGTGCACAGCCTCAAGTGGTTAAAAAAAAAAGAACATGCAATTATGAATCCTGCCTAGTCTTATAAAGCATCATTTTAAAACCTGTTATTTTGCAGAATATCTAATTTTATAAATAATCACAATTCTCACATGCTTCAGCAATATCTCTCTAATCTAAAGAACTATTTAAAAACATTCAGCCCTTTCATTTAAAATGGTAAAGTTATTCAAGTTATTTTTCTGACAAAAGATGGCTGAAATAGCAAAACTCCTCTTCAAGATGTCAAATATTCTTTTCTCGGGTGGCAAGTGCAAAACATATTGACATGAACAGTATTAAGATGAGATAAACTTGTCATTAAAAAATCCTGGCAGGGTACTCAATTTTAAGTGAATCTGTGTAATGGATAGCTCTGAACAATCTCACCTGAAATTCCACAATCATCATGTGCAAAGACGCAGATTGAGGTAGGATGGTGACATTGTTGGTAAGGTGACTGGTCACAGCTGTCCTAGCATACCAGAAATACAGGTTATGCCACGGCAACAAACTTGTAGTAAAAAATGGCTCTCCCACAAGAACAGAAATCTTGGCAAAGAAAGAAGGAGATAAAAAGCATTAAAATAAAGAACAACGACTCAATAACACAGGCTGTTTGTATCTTCAGTAGTTGAAGATGCAATATAGCAAGTGAAGTCAGCTAGATAAAAACTTCTGCTGTTCCATAAGGATTTAATTAATGCATACTGCATACACTGCACAACAGACGTATTTTTGTGGTTTTAGTTAGCAAATTTTAAAATCAATTTTCCTGCAACAAAGTTTGAGAAAATATTGCAGTTTTAGGTTGGAAGGCTTTGTAGTAAGAGTCACAGAATTTTGGAGTTTTTAATTTAAGGATGTTAGTACTTCCAAATAGACTGCAATCTTCTGAGTGGCTTGAGAAAGAAGAGCTACAGCCTAGTAGAACATATGGAGTTAAACCAGTTTAACTGCCCTTACAACTGGTATAGATTATATGCAGGAAGGGAAAGTCATACCCTTTCAAAAACGAAGTGAAAACCCTCCCACAGTCTTTACACTAAGCTTCATTTAGTTTCAGTGGGACAAGGTATGAACCATCTACTCATTACACTTTATATGAGCTGGGATATAATGGGATTCATTGTGGTTACAGTAGCACAGTAGGAAAGCAAGATTCATCTTCACTTTCCACTCCCCACTACCCCACTGCAATTCAGTATTGGACAACTGTAACATACCTTTTTGTCTTCCAAATGAGAAGTCGTCAGCAACTCGGGACGTGCTTCTATTATTTTAATTTTATCGTCAAGATGATTTGTTTTAAAAACCGGGGGGGGGGGGGGGAGGAAGTAGTATACTGTCTTAGTCAAAAGCTACAGCAGAGACTCAAACCCATACTAAACTAATTATTTTATTAAAATAAACAAAAGAGAAACCAATAGCCCAAAGAGATTTTTGAAAAACTGCCTACCATAACTCACCAGGATGATACAAGTCTATTCTTGAAGGGTGCATGGACTTAGAGCCAACATGTCACACCTAGTGAACTAAAGCGCATGCCCTACGTATTCCTTCAATTAAGTACATAAAAAGGCAGGTAACACAAAAGTTGCCTCACCTTCATTCATGTGTACTTTGAAGCATATGGGAAGGACAGTCAAGAAAGATAAAAATTACTTCAACCATGAATACATTGTATATTTGGCTTCTGTTTGAGACCAGGTTTGCATCCTAATTTGCCTACCATTAATGTTTTTGTACTCCTAAGCCACATGCTGAGATACACCTCTTTCAAATATATAGTGCCAACTAAAACACGACACAGCTGAACGAAGACTTTGGGAAGCTGCTTCCAGTCACTTCTTAGGTATCAGCTGCCTCTCCCAAACAGCCTCCACTCCACCGGCAGGGCCTTCTGTGCTCTACCCTAAGGAAGCAGCTGAAACATCACTTCCAGTTAAGACCCACTGCTTGCTATCTCCTAAGAGCCAAACAGCAGAGCAGGCATTCCCAACTTGTCTCAGCTGGAAGACACAACTGCCAGATGCCACTTCCCAGGTAAGACTGGTGCCAGCTACGGGATGCTCTGACATTCCATTAATCCTCAGAAACAAACAGCTTGGCTTTTATCACCAACGCAATGAGGGCAGCAGAGCAGTAGCTTAAGCAGACAAGCCAACAGGCATCTGCAAGGAGAGATCAAGCACTGGCAACCATAATTCCCGCTACTCAGCTCAACTTCCCCAGTGGCTGATTCAGCTTGTGGCTAAAGCTATGAGATTGGATATATCTCTGACAGGATGTATTCCTCCAAGTATTTGCATACAGCTCCGTACAACTACTTGGAAAAAATCAGAACTCTTCCCCCCAACATATCCCACCTCCCACAGTCTTGTCAAACTGTATGATCAAATACATTCATTAAACTGATTTAACCTCCAAGCAATTGATGCAAGGACAATCAAAGGCATCAGCTCTGGCCTTAGAAACGCCATGAGTTCATTTACTGCTTTAACAGAAAACTGAATACTCACTTTTTCCATGACAGAACAGGCCACAGCAGAGTTTTCTAATGTAAACACCTAAAGAAAATACACAACAGTTAGTCAACTAGCTTTATAATTTTTAGTTGAATATGTACACAAACAATGAAGGAACTATTTTGATGGCCTAGTGAACATAATTCATAAGAACCATGCATCTATTCCACAGCTCACTGTCATGTACCTTTTTAACAACAACAAAAACACCCCCAATAACTACAGGCTAAATAATGCTCTTTTCACAGCCATACGAGAAAAAAAACAACAGAATGCAAATATTTATTTTCCATTTTTAAGATGCACATAGCATATTAACATTTGCTCTAGGCATATATATACTCCTTAACAAATGCAAGCATATTGCCAGTGTGCTTAAATCAACCTCCATTAGTGCTTACTCCTTGTAAGCATTGTTTAACATGATCTGACTGTATCAGCTGGAAAGAGCTCAGATGTACAATGCAGCACATCAGCCTTTTGAACTTAGAAAAAAAAAATTGGGTTTTATTCAAAATCGGTGAATAGTTAGGCAATATGCTGCTACAGGGCTAGGAAAATATTATTGAAGTTTTTGTGTATGCCCTTTCATTTCCTCTCTCCTGGTCATCTGTGACTAGCCACTACTGAAGGCAAAAATACACGGGCCATGGATCACTGGTTTAACTCAGCATGGTTGTTTATTTCTATGAATTGCCAAGCATCTTCCTCAGGATTATATTACATTACACATTCCCAGATATTCAGTCCAACTATAATAGATTTTAGTTTGAAGAGCCCTATAAGAGAACACATCAAGTATATACATAAGTGAGACAGCCAGGTAGCTCTCATTTACACACAGACTCAGTATTCTTACTGCTTCCTATCTTGCTGTTACCGACCTTCCATTTCAGACTAGATAATAAATGCAATTATGGAACTGGAACCATACAAGCAGACAAAAAATCCTGCCACACATTTAGATCGGCAGAAAGAGTATTTCCAAAAGCACCAAGATACAAGATGGCAAACAGGAATCAGTGGGGAATGAGGAACACCACTTTTATTCAAGGCTACACATTGGTAAACATAAAAACTGGTAATGATTATCTCCCTAGACTTCAGCTTGATCGGAGATGAATTTAACCTCCACTTCAACACAATGGGAGGCTTCTTCTCACTTGTCACTGTAGAGGCACTGGAAATAATTAAATAATGGGCTGGAAATGCTGAGCTATATGAGAGAACTAAAAATAGCAAACTAAAATGCAAAGATCAGAAAAACAGGAAGAAGTACTGTACCTGCTTTGCTCCAAGATAGTGAGCCAGCACAGGCAGTAGACTGCCATCACTGATACAGAGGCAAACACTATCTGTTTTCAGAACCTACAGAAATTAAATAGTCATTGTTATTCCTATTCCAGATGAAAAAGTTTTCAAATTCTAGACATTTTGGTGGCATGTTTTCCCACTTCATACACTTCCATATCAAATAAGGGCTGGGAGATACAGTGATTAATATAACCACTTCAAGCAGAACAGAATAGTGTAAGAAACATTCATGTAATCCCCTTGTTTTAGGTCAGAAAAAGTTTGCATAAAAATGTATTGGGTGTCTTTATTCAACTACTAATACTTCGTCTAACAAATACACAGAGCTGCTACAAATTCCTATGCAAAAATGGCTGCTTACAATACCAAAGTTTTCATGACAAAATATAACTTACATCTGCTGATGTAAATAAAATCTACTTTGTCAGCAAAGTCCTTTAGCAAGGGAGAAACAAATTCCATAAATAATTACTGCAGATAAAACAATACACGCATCTATCACAGAAGCAAAAAAAACTACAGGCAACATGCACTCACTTTCATCAAAGACTTGATGTATTGGGATGTTCGGTTCTGATCATTTAATGCCCCAAAGCGCGGTCTATTCCAAAGAAGATGAGCCTGACATCTACAAACAGGACTCTCAACACAAACATCTGCTTTATTCTCCTCTGGTCCTCTGCAGAAAAAATTTCAGTAAATTGTATTGCATCAATAACATGTTTTTGCAAACAGGTACATTTATGCATTTTAGCTAGTATGCACATCAATGTATATGGAGTCCACTGTTATTCAAATTTACTAGTTCTGCAGGGACCTTTTTTTAGCTTTGCATTTCCAAATGAAAAGAAGAGCAAATTTTCACCTTTTTTAAAAAACCAAACAAAGAACCCCCCCCAAACTTTCCCACTGATTGTGATGGTTAGGTATTTTAGGCTTTGACTTTTTAGAAAAAAGTTACTCATTTGGATTCCTAAGTAAAAAAGGCACACAAAATTCAGGCATTAACTTTTAAAGCTGCCATTGATTTTTAAAGATGTTGGCTGCTATTGTAATCACAACCAACATGATTAAGCTCCTTTTAATTTGAGCAAAAGGCATTAATCTCAAAAATACAGTGCTGACTAAGAAAATAGAAAATGAAAAGAAACTGAATGGCAATTATTTCACTCCTTTACTTATACGCCAGCTCAGCTGAGCTATATTTCAGGATTTCCAGGAACCTACCATGAGTGTTTTTTGTTTCTCTGTCACAGAATGCCACCAGGTATAAGGCAGAGCCTGCAGTCCAAACCTCAACTGTGTTTTTATGCATCATGTGTTTTTTTCACCTGTGCATTCCCCATTGTCGTGGTTTAACCCCAGCCAGCAACTAAGCACCACACCGCCGCTCACTCACTCCCCCACACACAGTGGGATGGGGGAGAAAATCGGGAAGAGAAGTAAAGCTCGTGGGTTGAGAAAAGAACTTTTTAACAGAACAGAAAAGAAGAAACTAATAATGATAATGATAACATTAATAAAATGACAACAGTAATAATGAAAGTATTGGAATGTACAAATGATGCGCAGTGCAATTGCTCACCACCCGCCGACCAACACCCAGCTGGTCCCCGAGTGGTGATACCCCCCCCCGCCTTCCCAGTTCCTATACTAGATGTGACGTCACATGGTATGGAATACCCTGTTGGCCACTTTGG